TTTTCTGCAAGGATTGTGTGGTATTTGATTGACCGTGACAGAAACCATTTGGAGAGTTTTCTTCACAACTCCAACAGTAGATTTGTGCAACGTGCATGTTATCAACTTCGTGATTATGTTCAAGCGCGTGTTGCAGTTTCTGATCCCTTGTATGAGATGATCAAAAAGGAAGAGTTTGAACGCCAATATAATTCCAAGTTTTTGGAGGCGATTTCTTGCTCTCGTGTTGTAGTTGAGCCTGTAAGTTCAGGGACGTATGAGCCATCATCGAAGCTGAACTTAAGGGTACTACAAGACATCCTGAAGGGTATCTTCAAGATCCAGAAGGATGAGGAGCTTGCCAAGGAACGTGATGAAGAAGAAGAACAGGCAGCTCAAAACATCTCACACCTGTTGGCAGATGATATGGAGCTTGATTTTGATGATGATGATGTTCCAGTATGGCGCTCCATTGTCGACAAGTACAGAGGAGGTGATCAGGTGCTACAGGGAGAAGCTGTGAAGATTACTCACCTGTTCAGGGATCAAAAGGACAATGAGAAGGCGACAGAAGCTTTCAGTTCAGAGAGGACAGATTTTTATGAGACCTCAGGACCTCTACCAAGAACCAAGGGAGAAAATCTTGTAGAGGACTTGCTCACCAAGGGTGTTGCAGAACAAGCTTTTGAAGCAGGTGTTTTTCCTTCAGAGGAACCAAAGATGGAAGTTGACCAGGAGGAAGCCAAGGAAGAGTCAACACCACACTTTCTGTCAAGAGAGATAGGTGAGGACTCGACTGCATCGCACTTACCATCAGGTGAGATGGATGCTAACCTTGATGATACTTCAGGTCAACGGAAATCTAAGAAAGGCCGCCTGAATAAGATTCCTGATCCTCATTTTCATGAAGAAGTTCAGGATGATGCAACCATGGAAGAGAAGAAAGAGGCGGTGGAGAAAATAAAAGAGGTCAGAGAGGATGATGGAGAGAAGAAATTGGAGGCTGAAGTCCAAGAATCTTTTCCATCTGAAGTAGTTGTTGAAAAGGATACAACAAAAGCTGACAATACCTATGAGTTGCATACTTCACCTTTGAAGTTGCTTGGAGAGCTTACAGGAGATCCAGGTATTGGCTTTTATCAACTACGCTTCAGGGAAACTCATGCAAGATTGCTGAATCATGTTTGTTTCAGAAAAGGTGAGATTTCCCATCCTCATTATCAGTCAAGGATCAACGAGAATGATTTTGTTCGATCCATTCGAAATGTCTGTCCAGTACCTCCACCTGTTTGTTATGAACATGAACGAGGGCATGATTTGAGGAGATTCTTCATCAATGATGACCGCATCATTTATTTGGATGGCAGGTATCAGGTCGATCCAAGGGCCCTTGAAAGGGCAGGTCATGCTCGAGAAGAATTGGAGGATACGAAGAAGGAACTCAAGAAGGAACTGGAATCATACGGTCCCAAGGGACCCAGTTGGGACTTTGTCACCTTCTATGAAGAGCTGTGCAGAAGGTTCCTCAAAGGAAGAATAGAAGAACCATATGGAACTAACTTATTGGCCAGCTCAGAGTCCTTGACATTTTTATCCTGGAACTATGGCAACATGGTTCGTGGTCAGAAGTACACCACACCAAGGTTTCTCCAAGGACTTGATGGTGCAATGAAGCCACGCAAACAGAGCGCCATGTCACTTCAGAATGAGCAATTTGAGAACAACCTTTTCTTCAATATGCTTTTCTTTTTACGTGCACATGTCGTGATTCTCCAGGAAGCTCATCTTCTTGTTCCTGCCAAGGAATTTATTGAGCAAAAGAATTGGACAGTTTGTTTCAATGATTGGGAGAATCTTGCAGTGATGGCTAGATTGGCACCAGGTGGATATGTCAAGATCATTGCTGGACATGATCAAGAACTTGGTCATTGTGAACAACGTGATGTAACTTGGGCTATCTACGAGATTTGTTTTGGAGAAACAAGGCCTCGTCAAGATTTCAAGGATGCAGACTTTGAATTTGATGACTATGGTCCTGAGGACAAGCGTGTTCCACTTACTCGAGCGAACATGCATACCATCAGAGTCTGTAATTATCATGTTGATACACACCGTGCTGTGGATGCCCACCTACTGACAGGAGAACAGACAGCATTGATGCTTTACGAGTGTTTTGTCTATGAGGTGGACATCATTTCTGGTGATGCAAATAGTTTGGCCTACAGAATGTCTGGGTACAAAAGGCAGCCAATGGCTAACTACTATTACAGCACCATGCAGCATTGGATCCGCAGGTTTTCAGAAGCTCGTGTAAAAGCAGATCCTGGTATCAAAGCACCTATTCCCAGAACATTTTATAGTTCAACTTCACAAGTCCTCAAGAATTGTGAAGATTACTTTGACAAACTCTGGGAAGAATATTCTACTGTTGAAAAGGAAGAATACCAAGGATCAAGGCTTGGCGATACATGTTTGTCTACCATTGTTGAATGGGGTCATTCAATGAGTGAAGAGGAATATGAAAATTCCACAGTGAGCACGAAGGAGTTCATCTGTAACTTTTCAGAGAACTTTGCGGTGATTGACACAGAGGTTATGTGCTCAAGGCCCACTGACGAGGATAGTCATGGTCCAATGTTTATTTCACTCAGACCAGCTTCCCTTTCATCTGGAGACAGAAGACAGTATCGCATGGGACCAACGCTTCAAGAGGCGAACGTGCGGAGGAAGGAGAGACAAAAGCAGAATAAAAGGAAAGGAAGGCCGCCAACTTCTGATCAAGCAACTCCATCGTTTGCAGCGGCATAATTACTGAGCGAAGGCTGAAATTTAAATGATGGCTAGGAAGTGAAGATACTTCTGGTTACAGTTGATACTTTGCTTCCAGGCTTGACTTTAAGTTGCCAGGCTGAAGTTCTAATGAACTCTGGTTTGCAATGAGGAGAAACTTTTTATCAAAGAAGATACTCCTGCATTCCAGGTTTATACGCTTTAGCATGTAGATAGGTATGGACAGTTTTACATAACTGATGATATCTATCATCACCGCTCTTATGAAGTGACCTCTAATGGACAACCAGTCATGGTTGATGATTAAGTCATTTCATGATTTGCAATTGTAGTGCAAGATTTTTGTACATACATTTGCCGGTATCTCCTTCTTGTGTTTTGATGTGAATGTGAAAGAGAGTCCTTTTGATGCAGTTTATTTTGTCTGTGAATGAAAGCGGTCGAGACCACGTCACGAGAAGATTATTCCTCGGACCGTACGCTCCTTGCATTTTGCAAGGCATCTTAATTCATTGCACTGTGCGGTCTTGAATTTTTAGTTCTTTGTTACGCGAGTGTCGTTTACTGCTTTTATAGGTCTCTGTGTAAGAAGCCGCTTTCCCTTTTTAGTTGATTTAGCTCAGGCCATAAAGAGCTAGTGAGCGCCGGTACATGGTATCTTCGCCAGCGAAAAGTACAGTCTCCAGCCGAGGTACATTATCGCTTTGATTTTGTACTTGAGGTGAGTCAGCTATTGCTCCCTCACTGTATTTAGTAGCTATGAGATTACCTTCTCTGAAGTGTGAAAATACACTGGATTAGGTAAGTACATGGCACCGTAGTTTTCTTTTAAGTTGTCAGAGCTAACTGGACTGTTTTAGCCTTGCAGTAGAAAAAGAGTATGCGACATACGCAATCAGCTAGAAGTGGACATGAATCTTGTGCCTGCTGAAAAGTAGAGCCTACCTGTACAGGGTTCCACTCCAACAGCTGATATAGTGTGTCCATGCTTGACTGCTTCAAGGCTCAAGAGAGGGTCAATGGACCTAATAGGATAAGACTCTGCGTGAGCAAAAGACACTAGCGGTCTGCACCTCTATCGTGTACGCCCTAGTCACTCTTTCACCCCCTCCCCCCTCTCCCCCCCTCCCCCCCTCCCCTATGTAAGTATTGGTGTTTGCGCTGTCTCTTGTTTGTACTTTTTTGGCTTCCATGTCATATGTTGCTTTGTTTTTCTTTTGTGAGGACATGTAAGTTATGTTGAATCTATATGTAATAAGAAAAATGTATCTGAAGCAAGTTTTTGCCTCGTCTAACTTGACTCCCCCCTCCCC